AAATTCTACACAAGGAGTTGTTTGAGAATTGTCTATATAGGTCCACGATATCGTGCAGCCCCCTTCAACGGTACTCCCGATATTCGCTATTTGAATGATTTTGCCTCATTTTTTGATGGAATTGTCTGAAAATCCACACTCTGGAAGAGAATTTTCTATATAGGTCCAGGATTTTAGCGATATTTTCTATGACAAAAATTGTATATGCATGACGACGTCTTCGTTTAGCCCCCATATAATGGTTTTCCTTTGAGAGGTATTTTCGAAGGAATTTTTTTGAAATTTTTCAATTGCCTTCAAAATCGTGGAGCGTATTTAAAGTTCGGCCTGGCCAAACTTAGGTGCTTTCTTATCCGTTAATTCAAAAAACTCTACGAACCTAAAATACATTTGAGTTAAACTTTATCAACCTGCTTCATTCCGTTTGGTAGTTAGAGTGAACTCCAAAGACTGAATGACAAAAGAATGGGCAGAAGGACGGCATAAAAGTTTATGCTGATGGATTTGTATGGGTTTGGCTTATTTAGATCAAACATGTATGTAAATGTTCGATCTAAATTCGAACAATAAAAATGGGCTATTCAGATTATTGGATTTGGAATTCTTTTTAAAAAGGCAGATATATTCGCGGCGAAATGGAGATGTTCTCTATGCCATCACATGCCAACAATTATTCAGTTTTTGCCCAAGTTAAGTGGTTGTATTTTGACATCCCGGAAGGGCCATAACGTAACGAATCAAATCACGAAATAATATTTCAACACTTTTTCAGGACAAAATGGCATAGAAATAAGGGAAAGAAAAAGAGAAAAGGATTAAATTTTTAGTGGCATCCCCACTAGCATATTGGATATAGTTTAAGATGTTTTGCTCTTTCTTTGAGTCGAAGACGAGACCACCAATAAAAGGAAATCCACCTCATAATTCAAAAATAGCAATTCAACTTTTCAAACCATTTCATTGTTACATGTTAGTTTTATACATACCCAGAATTACGAAATTGAAGATATTCCCTTTAATATTTTTTTCCAATGATTTACAAAAATATTTCACAAAATTATTTCCCCCACCCCCTCTCCCTCTTCACAACTTGCCCTTTGGTATGCGTTATCACATCGAAAAAAGGTAGAAAAAGTTCATCGTTTCTCCCAGCAATTATAAACTTTTTGTTCTGTGACAGAATATTAAGATAAATATTCAACTCATATAGAATTTTTCCTTTTTGCAATTATTCCGTTTGCCGGCGAAAATTAAAAGTCAACAATGTACCCCACCGGGTAACCAAAACGAATTCAACCAACCAACCAACCTTTCATTCCCACGCAATGCCACATCAAACCGCCAATCTAAGGTTTACCCAAATTAAGATTTAAATAAATTTTGTTTGTTTAAATTCCCAAACTTTGTACAATTTATTTTTTATTTGGCCATATGGAGATTGAGGGGGTGGAGGGATAGAGGGGGAAATAATAAACAATACCATTAAATGGTTTATGTATCCCTTGGAATATGGCTCTGGTACTGGTACTTTTATTTGCACACATATGTATGTGTATTTAATTATGTGTGTGTGTATGTGTAGCATATGAGCGTGACACATTGACTCATTTGGATAATGAGTGCGAAATGTGTGTGTGAATGGCTCATATAATTTTAATTTTCTCTCTCTCCCTCTCTCTTCGGTTCTTTATGGGAGACGCATGGACGCCAAGGTTATTATTGGCAAAAGGTGGCATTCGAGCAATTTGTTTGGAGAACTTTTTGTCACAAAGAAAGAAGAAAATCAAAAGTTGAAACACAAATTACTGGCGAAATATGCACATGAGGGGGTTGCAATTAAAGAAAATTATGTCCGGGTATTTGGGAGGGAATATCAAGTAATTGCCATCGAAAACTCGAACCCAACCAGAAATATATTTTTAAAAGACTTTTTCCTCTCAGAACACATAGCTTTCAATTTGAAGTTAAAGTGAGATTTTGATTGGACTGATTAAAAGTAAAAAAGCAAGCACATAATTTCCACTTGTAGCACAAAAATTTCGAGCGTAATTTTCCTAAAAACAATTAAATCGTACAACAAGATATATGGTTTATTTCGAGATTTTCTTTTGTCGCCTCCTGCCTAAAACGAAATTTTATTTTATTTACTGTCGTCGATCCGAAAAACGGCCGAGGAAGATATATCAAACAATTTAGAAAGTATCAGTCGGTTTTGCCGACAGACGTATACTCTTAGCCAATGTTCGACTGTTCCAATATATTTTGACTTCTGTTATGATTAGTCAAATTGTTGACCCTCTATGGAGTAGGTTCCGAAGAAATGGGCCACAATTGCCCATTTCGTGTCGGTCCTAAATATATGTGAAATAAATATTGCGACGTGCCAGGTTTGGACTTCCTTAACTTTGCATGAAATATGTGATAATTATTAGATGATGTTAAAATGTGCATGAGGTACCAGAGGCAGTCGACGGAAGTATTCCATTTCCATACTTCATATAATGCAGATAAAAATATTGGTATGGGCAAAATTACAAGAAAATCGAACATTTATATCCAATCTAATGCGAAATCATAAATTCCGATATTTAGATGTATTTAGATATAGGCAGTTGTAAAGAATCGCTGATTTGTTTCGCAAGATATGACAGATAAAAGTATTGAAAATTGAGACGATTTGTGGGTGAGTTATCAAAAGGCGTTCGCAGATATATATTATTTTCACAACAGATCTTGCGTTAGCAAAAAAAAAAAAAAATATTTGGATGTGTGAAATTTGAAGAGAGCCAAATAAGCATCCAATTATTTGGCTTTCTTGAGCGTTCAAAACCCTATGTGGGGGACGTACCAGAAGAAATGGTCCAACCTCTACCATCTTTATAACGAATCTTGTGTTTATGGAAATATTGAGATGTACCAAGTCTGCATGGAATCGGGAGTTAATTTCGTACTTTATGGGCTTCATGGATATTCAAAATTGTGACCCTTTGTGGGGGAGGTACCAGAAGAAATGGTCCGATCTCTACCATCTTTACAACAGACATTGTGTTGATGAAAATTTAAAGATGTATCAAGTCTGCATGGAATCGGATGTTAATTTCGTGTTTTATGAGCTTAATGGATATTCAAAATGTTGGCCCTTTGTGGGGGAAGTACCAGAGGTAGGGGACTGATATATCCCATCTTCAGAGCAGATCTTGTACCAAGTCTGCATGGAATCGGATGCCCTTTGTGGTGGAGATACCAGAAGGAGTGGACCGATAATTCCCATCTTCACAGCGGGTGTTGTGTTATTAGAAATAATGGGATGCGTGAAATATGAAGAGAACCGGATGCTTATTTCAGATTCTATGATCGTTTTGATATTCGAAACTTTGACCCTTTGTGGGGGAGGTACCATAAGCAATAATCCGATCTCTACCAACTTTATAACAAATTCTGAGTTGATAGAACTATTGAGATGTGCAAAGTTTAAATGGCGGCAGATGTTTTTTTTTTTTTTTTTTTTTTTTTTGAACTTTAGAGATATTAAAGATTGTGACCTTTTGTGGGGGAGGTACCAGAAGGAGTGGACCGATATATTCCATGTTCACACCAGACCTTTGATTAATACAAATATTAGGATATGTGAAATTTGAAGATAATCAGGCTCTCAGATCACATTTTTTAAGGGTTATAACTATTCAAAATGTTGATTTGATGAAGTGGGCCGATGTTGCCCATTTTCACACCTGACCTAGGAGTGATGGAAATCCTAGTATTTGCAAAGTTGGAGCAAAATCGGATTATCGTTTCTCCTTCTCTGCAATAAAAGATTTTTTTTTAAATGTCGACCTTTTTGGGGCAGGTACCAGAAGAAGTGGACCGATATTGCTCATTTCCGAACCCAATCTAAATTTGATAACAATATTACGATGTACCAAGTTTGGGTCAAATAGGATACTCCCTTCGACAGTTATAGTACGCAGCAGTCAGATAGACGGACGGACGAACATCGCTACATCGACTCCAAATGCTCTGAAACGGATTTGGTCCAAAGAGCCCTAAGGTCTAAAACCGTTATTTTGATGAGGTACGTTTTGGTCGTGTCAAATGAAATGTACCCTCTCTACCTATATGACTGGGGGTATACAAACGGACATAGGTTGAAGATATGCATCTGGAGGCAAAACCGACTAATAACATTTCCAATATTTTCTTGATTAAATTTACTGAATTTCAAATTCTTTCTAAATAAATGTTGCCTATCCAAAAAAAAACTCATAATTTCCATACAAATTTTTATCTGCATTGCAACAAATACAGTTATTTCTAAAACTCACAAAATTGATTTTAAATTTCTATAAAAATTAAAACAATTTTTTAAAACAAATTATTGACATTCTTAAATAATATTCTCTTCCCTCTCTCCCCCTATCCAGAGCATGGAACATTTACACACATCCAAATGGGAATTTCTTTGTGACGACATATCGAATCCACATAGATTTATTTCAAACAAACACAAAAAGCAACAACAACATTACGCAATGGGAGATTGAAGTCTCCCCCGTCGGGGTGTTGAAGAACGAAATGTGTTTCATCGTTCAATGCAAACATATTTGCTTTGTTTTTTTTTTTTTTTTTTTTTTTTTTGGGGAGCGTTATTTTTTACGGTGTAGGTGTTTCGCTTTCTAATCATTTTCATTGGGGCGATTTGAACGCTGGTGTGGTGTGTTGGTTTTGTTATTGTTTTCCTTCTTCTTTTTTTAGATCAAGTAACTGCAGGTGCGATAAGACACAAAATATAAACAAAACGGACCCATAAAAAAAAAAAAACGCAAAACGCACTATAAACACCGACAACGACACCTACCATCGCCATCCATCCATTCACCACCACCCCAACCCTTGGACTCAGAAAGCTTTTGGGGACTCAACCGAATCATAGTTGCTTTTATCGATCCAGAAAAAAGTCTAATCAGCCACGATAAGATAACAGCAATAACAGCGTCAATGGAAGAATGTTGGAATGCCGTGGAAATGGAACTCCAGTTGCTTGGGAATGGTTCAACTACTTTGGGATTTCGAAGCAAGCCAACGGAGAACGGCACATTAGTATAGATTACATTTTCACAGCAGGTGGAGTAGCGAAAACAGAACTTGAACTAAACAATAAAAATCATTATTCTCTTCTTTATCATATCCGCGTGAATAATCGACAGCTAAAGAACGGAACACATTGATTCACAGCAATACAAAAATACGAAAGAAGCAACGAAAGAATGGTGACTAAGTTCAGAGTGGGGCTATTTTTAGCTCTGCACATATTTGCCGTTACTGGAGAGTTCCTTACCGAGGGCATAGAAGTGGATCGTTTCTGTTATCCCGAACTGCACAAAAATACCCGAAAATCCTGTGAGTGCAACAGCGACAGTTCCCCACCATGGGGTCTGCGGGTGGTGAACATCGACTGCAGTTTCAAGAGTTTGAAAACCGAAGATTTCTCCGAAATGCTGCCTTTGTATACGGATCGCTTGGATCTAACCTGGAATGCTTTGCAGCGGGTACCCGCCCTGTCCAGTGAAACTCTACGCCATCTCAATCTCATGCACAACAACATATCGATAATTGTGGCCAAGAACTTTATAAACATGCTCAATTTGCGGGAGTTGTATCTTAGCTGGAACAGTATCCAATCGATCGAGACCAATGCTTTCGACGAACTTGGTCATTTGCAAATTTTGGATTTGTCCCACAATAACTTGCACAGTTTGGGCTTTCAAATCTTCTCGCCATTGATGATTTTGGAGTCTCTGTATTTGTCATGGAATCGCCAATTGAATCAGACGGAGGGTATTCAAGACTTGGATTTCTATCAAACATTTGGTGTCAACATCAATCTGAAAACCCTCAAACTCGAAGCCTGCAGCCTGGGTAATATCACCTTGCCCAAGAAGGTGGTGCTAAAAGAATTGGATTTGAGACGTAATCGCCTGACCGAAGTTCCCCAAAGCCTCCCATCCACTTTGGAGAAAATTGATTTAAGTGAAAACCTCTTCCTAACCCTCAACGAGGAAGACACCAAGCGTCTGCCACAAATACGTGAGCTGTATATGGAAGATATGCCTGTGCTGCACACTTTGGATGAAAATGCCTTTGTGCCGCTGCAATCGCTGGAAAAGATTAGCTTCCAAAACAGTCGCCGTCTGTCCCACATTGATGGTCACACCTTTGGGGCCAATCCCACCCCTTCACCGCGCCTGCATTCCATGATTTTTCGTGGTACTGGCCTGCAGTCTTTTAACTCCACGCTTTCGCCAATATTTTTCCAACTGTCCGCCTTGGATCTGCACGGTGTGCCGTTACGCTGTGACTGCAATCTAGTGTGGCTGAAAAATGTACGACTCGAGACGAATGGTCGCTGTTTCAAACCTTCTCGCATGCGAGGCATTACCTTGACATCGGCCGATGCCTCCGATTTTAGTTGTGAGCGTTGGCCCCGTTGGATCTATGGCATTATAATATTGGGTCTCATTGTCCTCTGTTCGGTGGGCATCTATCTGATAGTAATGGGCCTAAGGCCACATGGTGGAGTTACAATGCGTCGCAAAGTTGGTCCGGGAAGTCCCTACTCTCGTGTCACAATTGAACCCAATCGCCAGGAACAATACTGAGAGAGCAACATGACAAACTTATATGTTTAGAATTGTTTAGCATTCTTGCAATTTCCATGAATTTTACTTTTTTTGTATGTTTATTTATTTAAAACAATAGATTATAAGAATTATATTGTTGTAAACATTTTTAAACTTTTGCCAAATAAAAGAACACCTTTTTGTGTTTTCTTAACTCTGTTCAGAAGTAAGATCCACTTAAAGTGGTTTTTACAAAAACTATAAAAATTTTAACAAAGAACTTACCAAGTTGGCCAGCAGAATATCTGGAAATAAACAAAAATAATATTTTGTTTAATTAAAATTGAATATTAAAAAAATACTATCTGTTGATTATTTAATTGATTTGATAATTTGCTATTCATTGTAGATATACTCTGATGATTTTCATACGTTTAGAATATGCTAACGTTCCCCCGCAAGGTAATATGTTTTGATTGGACTGTGCAACACTGAGAGTAATTATAGGAAAAACCCAGTCGATTATGAGTCGAACTCAATAAAAATAGAAGACACATGTGTCGACATTTTGAAAATGTACATCGTAACGTAAGTTAAACAAAGGGTGTTCTCTCCTCTTCTGCAGTTTTTTTTTAATTTTCGGACTACAATTTTCTGAATATTCTGAAGCTAGAGTATTTGGCAGCATTATAGATAGTAATATGACGATTTTCAGTCATCAAAGTCATCATCTTGTTGGGCTTCTTTATTTAATATTATACATAGTTTTTGAAAAGAACGTAAACCCATATAGGCAATAATTTGCCAAATAAGTAAGAACCCATTAGGAGCGGTAAGTACCAAAGCTTCGTCAAAACCTAGAATATCTGAGGGAACAGTTATATGGGGTCTATACGAAAACTTGGATCAACATAAACAATTTTCGAACTTGACCCTCCTATGGTGGAGGGTCAAAAAATATTTGTCATAAAATTCTGCTCCGAGAATATATCCGATTTCCAAATCTTGCCTAAAAAACGCTAGGAATTAAAAAAAAAGTAAAATACACATTTTAAGGTTAAACCATGTTAGTTTATTCAAAATATTCCCACGAAGGAATAGATTAAGAAGGATGACGTCAAAAACAAAAATCTTATTCATCAAATTGCACTATTAGTCAAAAAAGAACAACAATCCCATATCTATTACATATCAATAAATTTTATCAAAAAACTAAATCAAGCGAAGAGTTCGACCGGGCCATACTTTGAATATCCTCCACCACTTGGAACGACTTTAGCAATTTTCAAAACAAAAATATAAAATCCGTTAAAAATTCTGTTAAAATCTTAAAAATATCGCATGTAGCCGTTACATTAGGGTCTATGCGACGACTTGGACATGCATCATCAAAATCATCAAAATACCGAATATAGGGAGGTACGCTCTATGGAAAGATTGACCTGCAGAGACAATTTTCTGTCTTAGGCTGTAGTATCCATTACCAACTTCGAATGCCAAATTTGAAACAATTCCGGTGAACAATGTCGCGAAAATCATCAAAATACCGAATATCGGGAGGTACCGTTATATGGGGGCTATATAAAAACGTGGACCTACATGGCCCATTTTCAATATCTGCAGACATAATATACATATAATTAAAATTTGATTAACTTACTTCATTTAATTCGGAAGCTAGAGTGATTTCCACAAGCGGGCGAACATCACTTAATCGACATAGAATTGCAACAAAGTCAAAAGCAGTGATTTTTACATTTTTTCTTAGTTTTTATTGAATTAAAGCAAAAAATGTCGGAAATAGCATCAAATTTTAGAATAAGTTTAGATTTGTTTGAATTGGTCACCTTTTGCACGAATTATGGTCTTCAAACGGCCAACGAAACCATCACACGCTGCTCGAATGGTGCTCTGCGGCATTTTGGCCCATTCCCGACGAAGCGCTTACTTAAGGTGATCAACACTTTGGTATTTTTTAGTGCCAACCTTGCTTTCCAAGATACTCCAGACACAATAGTCCAACGGATTGGTATCCGGAGATTTTGGTGGCCATTATGCCCTGGAAATGAAGCGAGGAACCTCATTTTGTAACCATTCTTGGGTGCCGCGTGCTGAGTGCGATGTTGGAATGTCCAAGGTCTGCGGCCAAAATATTTGCGTGCCAAAGGCTTTAATACACCCTCCAGAATATTTCCGCGATAATATTCGGCATTTATTTTGATGCCACGGTCGATTTAATACGAACGGAGAGCAACCATGGGTTGTTATGGCGGCCCACACCATCACCATGGCCGGCGTTTGAGTTCTGATGGCCAACATATTGTGCATATTTTCAGCTCTGATCTCTTTGGCAAGTAAACACCACCATTTTGTTTGTTAACAAACTGCTGGACAACGAATGAGAAAGCCTCATCGGAAAAGTAGAAAATCAAATTCGGCAGTTCACCACTTTCGGCCAAGCGAAGCAACTCTTTAGCTCTTTTAAGTCTATTTTCTTTCTGTTGCAGTGTAAGTTCTTGCATTTTTTGGAATTTCAATGGCTTTACCCCGAGCTCATTTTTCAATATTTGCCGAATGGGATATTGCGATATGTTCGGCCACTGCGGAGCGGATCGCGATCAAGTCGCTTCTTTACTTTTCGAACTGTTTCTGCTGATGTTGCTGTTTTCTTCCGTCCAATTCATTGACGTCGGACTACGCTACAAGTATCACGGTAACGAGCGATGGTACGAGATTTATTCACATTTAAATGCTGGAGTGCTCTAACGATAGCCACTTGTGGTTTTCCAGCCAAATATAAAGAAATCACACTATCACGCTTTAAGTCCATCACAAATAAATTTTTTTCTGAAAAATTCTCACCAAAATGCTTTTGTACGCTTGTAAACAATGTAATGAGCTGCCACTGGAATAATTTTAACAGCTGTTGGACGAGTGGCTTAGAAATGACAGCAGTCTGAAGTTGGTTGCAGTTTTTTAATCTGACCCTGTACATGGACAGACAGACGGACGGAGATGCATAGATCGACTCAGAATGTGATTCTAGCAGATCATCGAAAGGAAATATGAGTCTATCTCGTTACCTTTGCCTATTACAAACAAATGCGCAAAGACATAATACCTTGACCACCTTAGGTTAGGGTAGGTGTAGGGTATAAAAACGACCTTCGGCAAACTTTCCAGATGTATTTTGAAAGTCTTCGCACCTAAATACTTCGGCAAATTTTCCCACGTTGTTCAGGCCCAATTGCTGAGAATGATTTGCAAGCGTTGTTCGTTTGTAAGACGATTCGTGTTTAATTTATTGGCCGAACTGAAAACGTTTGCTTTCATTTTTTTTTTTAAGTATTTACCCAACATGAAACACAAGGCTTTACAAAAAATTGTCTCCGGTTATACAAATCGTGGATTTATAAAAATGGATTTTTTCGAAGTTTCCCCAGCAAAACAAATCAAGGATTCTCTGAAACGCTTTTCATGGACTTCTGATTACAAAAATGGTGAATTTTTATGGATATTTTCCTCTTCAAGGAGACATCGGTCACATAATTCATTTTTAAGTGTTTATGGATTTTTAAAATTTTTTTTGCAAGGACTTTGCGTCTATTCTAATCGTGGAGTTCTTTATAGTTATCTTTTAGGAGAAAAATGGGTGATTCCTTCAAGGACCTCCTGACGAAAAATTGTAGATTCCTAGGAATATTCCTTCAAGGAACTCCTGGAATAAATTGTAGATACTTAAACAAGTAAAAGAACATTAAGTTCGGCCGGACCAAACTTTTAATACCCTCCACCTTCGGGTAAAGGAAACATTAGAAGAATTGTTGCAAAAACCATTAAAATACCGAATATTGGGAGGTACCGTTATATAGGGGCTATACCAAATCATGGACTCATACATGCAATGTTTCGCCACTGGAGCTGGAACCCATTATGACCAACAAATTCCAATTTTTAGACAAATTCGTGGCAAAAATGTGGCAAAAATAATCAAAATACCGATTATCGGGAGGTACCTTTATATGGGGGCTATACCAAAACGTGGACCTATACATGCAATGTTTTGCCACACGTACAGGGACCCGATATGACCTACAAATACCACTTTTCATACAAATCCGTGAAAAAATGTGGCATTAATCATCAAAATACCGAATATCGGGAGGTACCGTTATATGGGGACTATACCAGAACGTGGACCGATATATCTCATGTTCAATACCAACCATCCTAGACACAATACCAATTGCTCTGCTAAATTTTGGCGCTCTACGTCAAATAATGTGGGCTGTATCGTGATTTCAACAGACAGACGGACATCGACTCCTTTCCAAGGTGGAGGGTATAAAAATATTTTTTAAGCATCCATGCCAAAATTGCGTCACCAGAATGACTACTAGAGAACTAACTTCAGAAGTGTAATCTATTGTTCTGCACCAGCAATTTAAATTACGCCATTTCACCGAACAAAACACCAGACCATAATAGCAACTTCTGCCCACAGCCGTTTAATTAACTTCCAAACAAAAAGCATCCAATTCATGGCGAGTTCTCTTTTTTTGCTTTTTGAATATGCCAAACTAAATTCCCTCATAAAAATTGTGCTAACTGAATTCGCGTTAAATTATCTTTTTGATTGTTTTTTTGTAGAACAAACTTTTTTGTAATCATTTCATGGTTTTGTTATTTTTATTTTCCATTTTTGAAAAATTTAATTACCAGTTTAAATGAAATACAAGTAGACTTTTCAAACCATTTGCAGGCTGGCAATGATAAAAACATAAAACTTCCTATTCCGTTGTGAAAATTGAATGCATCCTCTCCAACGGCCCCCTCCCCTAAATTCAGGAACATTTCACGGAAACAGAATATCCGTTGTCCCATTTACAGTTGCGGATGTAAATCTGTTTTTAGCTCATTAACATAAAGACCAGAAATGAAATGAGAAATAATAACCCAGAAAAACATGCACTCAGCATCATTTAAATAATCCCATCACCGAAACCGTACCCCTCCACCTTCTCGCCTACACCGAAGGGAAACGTTAATTAACGATGAAATAACAACGCAAACCCACCGCCCTTCTTCATCCATTGCATGGGCGGGCTTATCCGGCACTATAATCCTTTTTGGCATAGTTGTTAAAGGTACTCATTCACCTCTCTCTCTCCCCCCCCCCCCACTCTCAATATGGGGATTGTGGCCTTTAATGAAATTAAAAAGAAAATAGTCTCAAGACTCAAAATGTTGTTAATGGA